GCAATACATTATTCAGTAGATGGAGCAGTGCATGGCCCGATTTCTCTGGAGATCTTATGGTAATCAGCGCCGACCTCATTGGGTTGCTTGGGAGACGATTTGTCGGCCAGTTGATGAGGGTGGCTTGGAGTTGAGGCGTTTGACGGATGTGATTGACGTTTTCACTTAAAAGCTCTAGTTTCGATTTCGTGCTCAAGATTCTCTTTGGGCCCGTTTTCTCTGAAACAAGTATTGCCGGAATCGGTTCCCAAGTTAATCCGTTGTGTCTTCACTCTATAGCATGGAGTGGAAGCGCATGTGCCGTGTCCGTGAGCGTGTCGAAGCTCAAATATTTTGGCGGATTGGTCCAGGTCATGTTTATTTCTGGCACGATCACTGGTTTGGCGATGGTCCCCTTTCGGGCATTATTGATGGTGGTCAGCTAACGACAGTTCGTGTGGAGTATTATTTGGTTAATGGTCATTGGGATCGGAACAAGCTAGCTGAGGATATTCCTTTTGAGTGGATTGATAGGATTTGCTCGGTCCCGATCTCTGGTGTTTTGAGTGATTTGCCCATTTGGAGAGCTTCTTCGGATGGCAAGTTTTCCTTGACCTCGGCTTGGGCCTTGATACGACAGCAGCATACTCCTACCCCTCTTCTTTGTATCTTTTGGGATCTTGTCTTACTCCTACAACTGCTATCTTTCTTTGGCGTCTTCTTCTTCAGCGTCTTCCGGTGGATCTCAAACTTCAGTCTCGAGGCACCTCTCACGCCTCGAGGTGCTATTGTTGTCCAGATCCATCTATTCTTGTGTCGAGTCTTGTATCTCAGTCTGTCGAGTCTCCTTCTGTTGAGTCGATTGATCATATCTTCGTGAGGAGCCCGACGGCTAAGAGGGTATGGCATCATTTTTTCTATGTTTTTGGCTATACACCTGCACACAATACGCACATACCTCAGATTTTACTTTATTAGCAGCACTTCACTTCGCACACACTCACACACCACATACACATCATAACCATTGTGCCTTGCTTGATCTTGTGGTTCTTATGGACTGCAAGAAATGACAGCAAGCACAAGGATATCACGGTTCGCGCTTCTTCCATAATTTACAGGGTCATCCAGCACATTAGGATTCTTCATCAAACCAAATTACTTTCGGCGGACAGCCGGACTGGCATTCCCCTCGTGGCTGAGTCTCTTGGCCTATATTATCGAGCCAGAACACCAACTCTCACACCTCATCGAGTTATTTGGCTTCCACCGGATCTGCGTTGGGTGAAGCTAAACACAGACGGAGCCCGTAGAGCATCCACCCAGATTGCAGCTATTGGCGGGATTATCAGAAGTTCGCACGCTGAGGCCATACTTGCATTTCACGAGAAGATCTCTGCCCCGAGCAGTATTGCAGACAAGCTTGCTGCTCTTGCCTCGGGGTTGAGATTTGTTATTCAGAGGCAATTCACTAGAGTTTGGATCGAGTTTGACACAGAAATCGTTGTTCGACTTCTTTCGCACACGGAAAAAGGTCATTGGAGTCTTCAGAGTTCTCTCACGGCGATCCGAAACTCTCTTTCTACTTTGGAGTACAGGATTACACATATCTACCGGGAGGGCAATACAGTCGCTGATGCATTAGCTAACATGGGATGTCAGACTGAGTTGGCTCGTACCTTCACAACATCGGAGCTTCCCCAACCTATTCAGCAGATGATTCGGATGGACAAGCTTGGATATCCATCCTTTCGACGACAGTCTCGCACATATGTGCCATGCATTCCACGTTTTTATAAGATTGGCAGCTTGTATTTTCAATTTCTACATAATTTAAGCATTTTCGTGAACTTTACATGTTAGGCAGGGTTAGGGTGATTATGGATTGTCTGAGTCTATCAAGACTAGACTGTTTGCCGAATGGTGCGACATATTTCGCAGTCGTTGTACTTGTTTCGTCCATTTTTTGCTAAAATGAAAGTGACATCGGTTGTTGTGGTGAGGCGAACGGTCTACCTTGGTCTCCCCGACCTTCTATAATCATTCTCATTTCTGTCCTTTTTATTATTTGGGCTACCCGTTTTGCCCGTATTCTTAACGTTTTTTTAGTTAGCAATTGTCTTTTATTTGTCAATTACTATTACTACCCATCTGTTGGGCATTAGCAGTTTGAGCGAAACTCATTATGTACTTCTTAAATTTTATTTTATAAACAGGTAGAGGGTCAAGCCTAACCCCACCCTCATTGGGTGTCGTTCTCTTAAAAAAAATATGCATTATTATAAAATAATAAGACATTAATTCCCTTTTACTCTGTTAGTCTCTTTGAAGGGCATTTGACCCAAGATGCAGGTTCGGCGGGCTGGGCCCACACCGGGTCAACCTAGCCGTTAGAATCTGGCCCAACGACTTTTTGAAATATTGAAAAAGGCATTTGAAAGCTCTAACATGTCAATCTGTAATCAAATTGATCTTTAATTAGGTTTAAGTGTAATCATTATCATCAGCTACTAGTTAGTATTTTACAACTATAATTATTATTTAATGAATGAAGAAACGGTCACAATGTTCCACGAACAAAGACGATCATTTTCTTGGTTATTATTTTTTTTCTTCTATTTCCCCTTTTTTTTTGTTTGATGCTATACTCGGTGAAATATACTGGGATGATTATTAACCTTTGATCTGCACACAATCTTACACACACCCATTTGTATGTGTGCTTAATGAAAAATTATTTCACCACATCAACGATTAATAATTACTCGGTGTATTTCACCAGGTGTAGCATCTCGAAGACCCATTTTTTTGTCACTTGAAATTTGTACCAAAATCCACATATTGGTATATAGCATTTCAGGATAAATCACGACACCCATAAATTAAGGTTAAATTATGAAAACTACCCTCATTTTTTGGTAATTACAATCACCACTCAATTAAGTATTATCCTTCGAAAAAACCCTCAATCCAGTAGGTAAATGTGATATCGTAAGAATGGACGTGTAAGACAATTATAGGTGAGAGATGGTTGTAATTATCCAAAAATGATGTATTTTTTCGTAATTTAAAATTACCTCAAATTTTATCATTAAAATAATAATATTCAACTGTGAATAACGTGTGTTGGATTATGTTGAGGTTTTCCCCTTTTTTAACGACGAGAGTTAGAAATATTAATAAATAATTAATATTAGATTATATATTTCTCTAACAATTTAAGCTTACATTTCATTAATGTGGTATTTGCTAAAGCTTTTAAAAATAGATTATGAGTTTTTTTGCACATAATTTATTTTTAGGTGTTCGAAAACAAGCTTTTGCTTTTACTTCTCTTAAAATAAAGTGTTTTAATCTATAATTTTAAAAGCACCCATCTGCCTTTTTTTTCTATTGTAGTTGATTTTCCAGTTAATTCGCGAAAACTCCAAACTTTTAGAAATAAGCACTTAATTTCAACTTAACTCACAATCTTTAACTTAGATTTTTAAGTAAACGTTTGAAATACCACCTAACAGCTTAAGCTTCTGATTGAAGTGGTCATTTAACGTATATTGTAATAATTAAATTTCCACTGTTTCTGTTGCAGCTGTACATAGAAACAATCAAATGTTTCAGAATTGAAATGTTATTTTGAAAGACTCCAATTAAGTCATTCAATTTTAAGACTCCAATTAAGTCATGTAAAAATATTAATAAATAATCATATCGTTAATAGTTAAATTCCCACTATATATATTGTAGCTGTACATAGAAACAATTCAATGTTTTAGAATTGAAATGTAATTGATATTGAAAGACTTTAATTAAGTCATTCCATGTTGCATAATAAATCTTTAATCATTATTGTCAATTGTTAAATTTATTAATTATTTATTTTCTAAACAATATAAAACTAATTTTTTTCTAAGTTTACTCTTTCTATTAAGAATAATTCAAAAATACTTTTAACAATAAAGGTCATGCATCAACTTTACCAGTAAGACTTTAATCATGGTATCCATAAAACAAAAAAAAAATATGGAAACATTAAAAACAAAATGTTCGAAACATGGAAACATTGGGACGTTGAAGTTTTCGAATTACATAGTCAAGCACCATATTATAAAAAGAAAATAAAAACTATTTTTTTCTGTGTTTGCAAAAACTTATTTAAAAGTACTCCCTCTGTTCCACAATAATTGTCTCTTTTTAAAATTATTTTTGTTCCATATTATTTGTCACTTTACATTTCCAATGCTGCATTAATTGTGTAATTATCAATTTTACCCTTATTAACTATCCCCTACACTCTCTCACATTAATTATTGCCAAGGGCATTTTAGTATAAGAACATATATATTTTCTAAAATTAAGCAATATTTATTGAGATCCTTAATCCTTGTGCCCAAGCTAAAAACGATAATTATAAAGGAACGGAGGAAGTATAAATAAGTTAAGGGTTGTGATTTAAGTTACTTTTCAGTGCTCATTTTTACAAGTTGTGAGTGTCTGCAAATTTACTGGAAAATGAACTTCAATTAAAATAGCATATCGATAGTTGTTTTACAAATTATAGTTTAAAACTGTTTATTTTTAGAAAAACAAAAGTAAATACAAAACGCCTAAATATAGATTATGAGGACAAAAAAAAAAGAAGCTCAGAATCTCTTTTTAAAAACTTTTGCAAACTTCACTTCGTTCTATTATTCAACTTAACTTTTTGTATAAAAAATAAATAAACAAAAAAAAAAAAAAAACATATTTACTCTCAACCAAACAATATACTGTATGTATGTATAGTAATAACTAATAAGATCGTCCAATAGAAAAATTATCGGATCTACTAATAACAGAGTAATAACAATACTGAAAGGGTGGGAAGATTTGTTAAAACTATTTATTATATATTATATTAAATTATATTAAAAAGAAAAAGAAAAACAAATAAAAGGTGGTTGATGCTGATTTTGGCAGAATGGAGTTTTTTACTCTTCTGAAATTGAAATCTTCGAAATTCAATTTTCCAAGGGCATAATTTTCCTCCTCTCTGCCAAAATCTACTGCATGCCTTTTTTCTGTAAATCAGATTAAATCAAAGTCCACTTTCTTTTTGTAGCAGAATCATCCATTCAATTCTATATTTCTCTCTCCTCCATTTCCAATTCGAGTGCTTCAATCTGGTTTGTGCCTTTCCCCCCTTTTTTTAGGGTTCGTGTTCTTAATTTCTCGGTTTTTTTTTTTTATGTAATTGGAATTTGCGATCGAATTCGCGCATCATCGTTCATCTATTGTGTTTTGGGTGTTGAGAATTTCCTTTTGTTTCTCTGCATGGAGTAGCTTCTTTTAATGAGGTAAGAATATTTTGTTTTTATTTTTAATTTTGTTTCCTTATTTATTTCCCAAATGATCATCGGTTGTTGTGAGTTTCTAATATGGAAAGTAATTTTAGTTATTTGAATACTGACTTGGTTAGATAAATCGTTTCCCTTTTTGAGATTATTACCTGCTAAAAGTATATATATATATATATATATATATATATATATATATATATATATATATATATATATATATATATATATATATATATATATATATATATATATATATATATATATATATATATATATATATATATATATATATATATATATATATATATATATATATATATATATATATATATATATATATATATATATATATATATATATATATATATATATATATATATATATATATATATATATATATATATATATATATATATATATATATATATATATATATATATATATATATATATATATATATATATATATATCTCTATATACATATATATATATATATATATATATATATATATATATATATATATATATATATATATATATATATATATATATATATATATATATATATATATATATATATATATATATATTACTGTATTTAATGTTATTTATATTATTACCAAATATAATTGATTGTTTCTTTTTTCATTAGTCATATATAACTATGTAAGTATATAAACTCCCTACCGATTCACTTTATTCCACCATCAGTTTTTATTCGATAAAAAACGTATGGTTATGTGCGTTTTGTTTTGATAAATTAGGTTCTCTTGATTTTTTGCAAATGTTGTTATTTAGTTCTTTCGTTATTTTTTATTGATGATTTTTCTTTCAATTTTAATTTTATAATATTGTA